AAGTCACAAAGGGCATATATTAGTAAGGAAGGGGAGAGAGCCAGGATTTAAGGCAGTGGAGTTCATTATCAAAGACTTCCTTTATAATATAAAGCTCCTAACCCCCAAGCCTTGAAGAGAAAAGATAAACATCATCTCCTAGGGGATTGGTGGGGTGGTTTGCTTTTCTTTTAGTTTTTGGTTTAGTACAGCAGGAAAGCTTGGACAAGGACCCTTGTTCTGTATTGGTTGCATCAATGCTTTGTCCCTAAAATCAGTAAGTTTCTTCCCAGTGAAGGACTGCCTTTTAAAGTTCTTCTGATATCAGATGATGCCTCTGGCCACCCAGAACTCCTGAGTTCAACACCAAAGGCATCTGAGTGGTCTTCTTGCCTCCAAGCACAATGTCTTTAATTCAGACTCTGGACTGAGGGCAACATTCATTACACATAGTGTACACTGCTAAAAGGATTGTTGATGCTATAGAAGATAATCCTGATACAACATCAAGAAAGGATTGCACCATTGAATATGCTGTTACTGTTACTGAAAAAGTTGCATGAAAGTCATCAAGCCCAAAACAAAAAAATTCCTGCAAGCAAAAACTGTCCAGATGTTATACATGACTTAACAGAATTTATGACAGAGCCCATCAAAGAAATCATGAAAGAACCAACCATTTTAATCATATGGTTAAAAAAGTAGGGGGAGGATGAAGGATTTCAAGATTTAGATCTTAGAAAAATTTATGGACAAAAAGGCACCACACCACAGGAATTAATAGAAGACAGCTTGAAGGAAATGAGTGCATCCAAACTATTACCATGCGATGAAGACAGAAAAATCACTATAAGAAGAAGCCGTAGAAAAACGGGTTGACTTGAGACAGTGTGGCAGAGGGTTCCAGTTATTCAGGACTGCTTTTGACTTTTACAACACCTTTTTGTGTTACAGGCAATGAAACTAAAGGAAATGGCAGGAGGAGGATTAGTACCTCACTGAAACATTTTTAGAGAAATGATAAAGCAACATTGTCAGACCAAAATTATCCCGTATTTCCATAAGGGTTACACTTAGTGTTCTTCTTCCTCCTGCATCCCCTTCCACCTCCATCACCCCAAGACAGCAAGCCGACCCTCTCCTTCTCCCCTTTCTTAGCCTACTCAGTGTGAGACTGTGAGGATGAAGGCCTTTATGTGATGATCCACTTCTGCTTAGTGAAGAGTAAGATATATTTTCTTTAAGATTTTCGGCTCGGTGCCTGTGGCTCAACCAGCTAAGGCGCCAGCCACATACACCTAAGGTGGCGGGTTCGAATCCCCAGCCTGGGCCCACCAAACAACAATGATGGCTGCAACCAAAAAATGGCCGGGCGTTGTAGCGGGAGTCTTTGGTCCCAGCTACTTGGGAGGCTGAGGCAGGAGACTCGCTTGAGCCCAGGAGTTGGAGGTTGCTATGAGCTGTGATGCCACAGCACTCTACCCAGGGGGATAGCTTGAGGCTCCGTCTCAAAAAAAAAAAGATTTTCTTAATACCATTTTCTTGTCTCTAGCTTTATTATAAGGGTACAGTATATAATCATTATAAAATACGATCATTACAAAATACATTAATAGACTGTTAATATTATCTATAAGGCCTCAACACGCTTTTGGGGGGTCAAAAGTTGTGCATGATTTTTTGAGGGGTTGGAGCCCTTAATCCTTGCATTGTTCAAGGGTCAACTATAATAACAATTCTAAACAAACTATAGGTTGAGTATCCTTGATCTGAAAAGGTTGGTATCAGAAGTCTTTCATATTTTATATCAGGGGTCTTCAAACTACGGCCCATGGGCCACATGTGGCCCACCGAGGACATTTATCAGGCCCACCAGGTGTTTTTGCCACCACCACCTGTCCTGCTTAGCAACTGACGCGTCCCAGGCCCACAGTCCAGCCCTCCCAACGGTCTGAGGGACAGGGAACTGGCCCCCTATTTAAAAAGTTTGAGGACCCCTGTAATATTTTTTCATATTTTGGGATATTTACATTAAACTTAATGGCTGAGGATCACAAATCTGAAAATTCAAAATACTGCAAAAGAGTACTTCCTTTGAGTGTCAAGATGGCACTTAAAAAGTTTCAAATTCTGTCACATTTTAGACTTTAAATGTTCAACCTAGGCAGAAAATTAATAGGGGTGGAACACCTCCCCTTTAAGCCATGAAGTCAGCATTATTCCTAATACCAAAACCAGATAGAAACGTTAAAAACAAAAAGCTACAGACTAAAATCCCTCTTTAACACATTCAAAAATTCTGAACAAAACTTTAGCTAATTATATCCAAAATATATATAAAAAGGATATTTCATCATGACCAGGTGGTGTTTATCCCAGGAATATAAGGTTGGTTTAACATAAAAATTAATGTAGGTCAGGCATGGGGCTCACACTTGTAATCCTAGCAGTCTAGGAGGCTGAGTTAGGTAGTTTGCCTGAGTTTAGGAATTTGAGACTAGCCTCAGCAACTACTAAAAATAGAAAAGTTAGCCAGGTGTTAACACTAGACACCTATAGTCCCAGCTACTGGGAGGCTGAGGCAAGAGGCTTTCTGAAACCCAAAAGTTTGAGGTTGCTATGAGCTTTGAGCCACAGCATTTTACCCAGGACAACAGAGCAAGACTCTGTCTCAAAAAAAAAAAAATTAATGTAGGCTACCATGTTGGTTTATACCTGTAATCCTAGCACTTTGGGAGATCAAGGCAGGAGGATCACTTAAGGCCAGGAGTTAGAGACCAGCGTGAGGACACATTGAGACCCTATTTCCACAAAACAATTTTTTTTAAAAATTAGCAAGGCCAGGTGTGGTGGCTCATGCCTTTTATCCTAGCACTGTGAGAGGCAGAGGCAGGTGGATTGCCTGAGTTTAGGAATTCAGACTAGCCTAAGCTAGAGCGAGACCCTGCCTCTAAAAATAGGCAGGTCTTGTGGCAGGCACCCATGGTCCCAGCTACTTGGGACCATGAGTGCCTGTAGCTTCTGGGAGGCTAAGGCAAAAGGATCACTTGAGCCTAAGAGTTTGAGGTTACTGTGAGCTATGATGACGCCATGGCACTCTACTGAGGGTGACAAAGCGAGACTCTGTCTCTAAAAATAAATAAAATAAAAATTACCCACAAATGATGATACATGCCTGTAGTCACAGTTACTTGTGAGGCTGAGGAAGGAGAATTATTTGAGCTCAGGAGTTTGAGGTTTGCTGTGAGCTAGGCTGACACCTTGTCACTCTGGCCACATGCAACAAAGCTTGCTCAGAAAGAAAAGAAAAAGAAAAAAGACATAGTGTAGACAACTTGGAAATTGTAGTATAGTCTGAGTGTTGGAGAATATTGATTATTATTTATTTATTTATTTTTAGAGACTCTCAGTTTGTCTCCCTCAGTAGGGTCCTGTGGTGTCACAGCTCACAGCAACCTCCAGCTCTGAGGCTCAGACGATTCTCTTGCCTCAGCCTCCCAAGTAGCTGGGACTACAGGTGCCTGCCACAACGCCCGGCTATTTTTTTGTTGCAGTTTGGCCAGGGCTAGGTTTGAACCCGCCACCCTCAGTATATGGGGCCATCGCCCTACCCACTGAGCCACAGGCTCTGCCCTTGATTAATTATTGTTAATTTTGTTTGGTTAGAACATCTGTTGTTTGGCATCTAACAGAAGCTTACGTGTATTAGAGATGCATAGTGAGGGCTATGGGTGCAGTTATGTGACATAGGTGGTAGGCTTTGAAACCTCTGACACACTAGGTAATACATCGATAATTGAAGTTGGATGATATGTAGGAAAGGCTTTATTGTCTTTTGCATATTTTTAAATTTTTCCTAAAATTTTTCTTAACTGTTTTTATGAGTTTTAGTTTCATTCTCATGGAATCCGTGTCTCTCTCATTTTGGTCCCTACCTTGCTCCCTCAGCATCCACATCTGCCTCTTCCACAGTTGGGAATCTAGTTTTGTCTAGAGTGAACCGCTGTCCCAGGGTGCACGTTGTTCCATGTGAATATTAATGGGGCTCTTCAACTGACAGGACATTCTCCTTTGAACAGCAAAGCCTACACTCAGCTTACAGTGACATGGACTTTCCATTGTGCTTCTGTGCTTCACATCTGTTTATCTTTACCTAAAGATTCCTTTGGAATCCCCCTTTATGTCTCTGTGCTTTTCCTATCCAACTCCTATCTGTGTAGTTTTCCAAACTCAAGTCTTCTTTCCTGGATGCCTTCCCTAGTGTTACTCCTCTACCCTGTCCTACCCAACCTGGTTGCCTTTTTATGCTGCCAACTCACACTGGGCCTGCTCGGTTATGTACCATTAGATAAACTGTTTTCCACTTCAGTTAGCTTTGCAAGGTTAGGGAATCACTATCTTTTCATCTCTGGGTCATTGGTATGAAGCAGTGCTAACAGTGTCTGGCAGGGTGTTGGGTAAATCCAGCCTTAAAGATTCTCTGACTAAAGCCTCAAAAATAATTCGGAAGAACTCAAACCTGGAAAGGTGGGTGCACCTTCCTAAGAATACAGAGCATAATAGTAGCAGAGCCAAAGGTAGAGCAGGGAACGGCAACCCCTCTCTTACTTGATGATGTGATAAGCAATGTCAAGAGGCATCAGGCATCTACAAAGACAGTGTTTTACAGACCTAAGAGTGGTCATCCTCTCAAGCAGAATAGGAAAGCCATTAGAACAGTGATAGTATCTCCAGAGTGTGCAAAGAAGTACATTTTTATAATGTGTGATATACCAAATGTTCATAAAATGCAACAGTGATTACAACACCTGGCCTTTTCACTATATACATTTTTTATTCAAAGTGCTTAATCTATGGTATAACTGCCAGTTCTGATTTTTTATTTCTTAGGATCCTCTTATATGATAATGACATGAAGAGAGATGTAGAATAATAGGAACTTTATACTTCTAATTGTTTAAAAATAAAGGATATTCAGAGATCTTACTGTTAATATCTGTTTGTATTTGCAATTTTCACAGCGTCGTCTCGGAGATGCAGCCAAGAAAGCCATCAGTAAATTGACAACCAGAACGGTAAAAAAGGGTGATAAGGTACAGTTATGTAGCACTCTAAAATAATTAAGTAGTTTTGTTTTTGTTCGGTGAGAAAGAATACACCTTGATTGTTTATATCTCATTTGTTACATTATTGTTTTCTCCAGGTATACCACCTACTACTTTATCTTAAACTACCTTCTCTTCTTGGCATGCCTGCCTTTTGGAAGCCCTTCAGATAGTCCTCCAGCTTCCCTGCTCTTCAAACATTTGCCATTATTAGCATCACTAGACTACTAGCAATATTTTTCTGCAGTTTTCTTCTGCTAAAATCTAGCATATATGGCTCAGAGCCTGTGGCTCAAGCAGCTAAGGCACCAGCCATATACACCTGAGCTGGCAGGTTCAAATCCAGCCCGGGCCCACCAAGCAACAACAATGGCTGCAACCAAAAATAGCCAGGCATTGTGGCAGGCACCTGTAGTCCCAGCTACTTGGGAGGCAGAAGCAGGAGACTTGCTTGAGCCCAGGAGTTGGAGGTTGCTGTGAGCTGTGATGCCACAGCACCCTACCCAGGGCGACAACTTGAGGCTCTGTCTCAAAAAAAAAAAAAAAAAAAAAATAGATAATTTTTTAAAAGATTTTTTTTTTTTTAGATAGAGTCTCAAGCTGTCGCCCTGGGTAGAGTGACATGGCATCATAGCTCATAGCAACTTCCAACTCTTGGGCTCAAGCAATTCTCTTGCCTCAATTTTTCTCTTTTTAGTAGAGATAGGGTCTCACTCTTGCTCAGGCTGGTCTTGAACCCATGAGCTCAAGCTATCCACCCTCCTTGGCCTCCCAGAGTGCTCAGATTACAGGCGTGAGCCACCAAACCTGGCTTTCGTAAGAATTCTAGTGGGACCATTTTTATATTAAAAAGCCAGGAGAAGTGTGTTTTCCTCCTGTATACCTGTGACTTTACTGTGTCTCTTTCGTGTTTGCCTAAACCAGTTAAAGGGAGAGTTAAAGACCTATGTTTGAGAGAGTTTCACCTAACAAGGTGCTATCTTCACAGCAGGTTAAGCAGCTTGAAAGAAGAGCACAAGGCTGGGTGCAGTGGCTCATGCCTGTAATCCCAGCATTCTGGGAGGCTGAGGCAGGTGGATTGCTTGAGCTCAGGAGTTGAAGACCAACCTGAGCAAGAGTGAGACCCTGTCTCTAAAAAATAGCCAGATATTGGCTCACCACCTGTAGTTCAAGCTGCTAAGGCACCAGCCACATTACACCAGAGCTGGCGGGTTCAAATCCAGCTCAGGCCTTCTAAACAACAATGACTACAACCAAAAAATAGCCGGGCATTGTGGTGGCTGCCTGTAGTCTCAGCTACTTGGGAGGCTGAAGCAAGAGGGTCACTTGAGCCTAAGAGTTTGAAGTTGCTGTGAGTTATGATGCTGTGATACTGTACCAAGGGCAACAAAAAGAACACAGTTTGTCAGGGTTGGGCCTGGTGGTTTGGGGGTGCCAAATCAGAGAAGCAGTGAAAAGGGCCTTTTCAGAATTCCCTAGTTAGATCTTACATTATGATAGAGAACTGCTTCTTCTCTGGAAGGCTAAAATAGCACCTTAATGCTAAACCCTACATTCAGTGTATTCCAGGTGATCTAGAATGAAAAAATTACATCTCAAAAAGTATAAAACCAAAACTTGTCTCCTGCCCCACATCCAACTCTAATATTTCCACAAGGAACTCCATCTGGAAGGATAATTTCAGATGATTCTCAGTCTTGCTAAATTTTACCACTCTTGGATTTTACTCACTTTTATTCCCATTGCCTGACGTCACCTTATTTAGTTGCCTTTGACACAACTTCAGAAGGTGGAGACACTATTAGTGAAATTCATTGTACACTAAGGAAAGAGAAAAGGAAAAAAATCACTTGCAGAAAATATAAGGAGCATCAAAACAGTTATATTGGCTTGGCGCCTGTGGCTCAAGTGGCTAAGGCGCCAGCCACATACACCTAAGGTGGTGGGTTCGAATCCAGCCCAGGCCCACCAAACAACAATGATGGCTGCAACCAAAAAAAAAAAAAAAAATAGCCGGGTGTTCTGGTGGGCACCTGTGGTCCCAGCTACTTGGAAGGCTGAGGCAGGAGACTCGCTTGAGCTCAGGAGTTGGAGGTTGCTATGAGCTGTGATGCCACGGCACTCTACCCAGGGGGACAGCTTGAGGCTCTGTCTTAAAAACAGACCAAAAAAAAAAAAACCACAGTTGTACTTTAACCCCAGTGGAGTGGTAACTACTATAAATGCTTTCTTGGCCTGGTAGCCTTTAGTTGTCACATTAATTTGAAATTCCCTGAAGTTCATCTAACCCACCTAATCTTACTTGTACCCCAGGCTAGCGCAAAACAATATTTCCTTTAATTTTTAAAGCAAATACATCTTAGTTTGAACCTCCTTGTCCTGACAAGAGTTGTCCACTGAGTTTCAGTCTAAGTGGCAGTGACACAGCAGATAGTTATACCTTTCCTGGCTTAGGCTAAAGGCATCTTTCTTTTTTTTTTTTTCCTTTTGAGACAGAGTCTTACTTTCTCAGTAGAGTGCTGTGACCTCACAGCTCACAGCAACCTCAAACTCCTCATTACTCAAGTGATCCTCCTGCCAATACAGGTGCCCACTACAATGCCCAGTTATTTTTAGAGATGAGGTCTCACTCTTGCACAGGCTTGTCTTAACTCCTGAGCTCAAGCAATTTACCTGCCTTGGCCTCCCAGAGTGCTGGGATTACAGGCATGAGCCACTATGCCCAGCCTGCATCTTTCATTTTTTGACCATTCAGGCTAAATGCCTGAAGGGGAAGAAAATCAAGTAACCTTGTGTCCGAACACCTGGCTGATGCTTCCTGGCTCTTGGTTAACCCAGCATTAAGCTTACCAATGACCTTTCTCTGTCCCCAGATCCATGACCAGATATACAGCTCTGTACTTGGGGTGGGTCTCTGAATAGCAGTCTACTGGGGGCTCACCATCCCTCCTGTCTGTACTTAGGATGTGATTAGTGAGCATCATGGTGAAGACCTGGATTGTGTAGAGTGTGCAGTGAAACAGATTCAGACAAGCTAGCAATACAGTGGAAAGGAGAGGAGAAGAGGAGGATAATGACAATCCAAGGTGATAGCTGATTTGAATCTTCAAAAGATTAAAATTTTGACTTACCATAAACAAAATTAGTAGAGATTGTTAACATAATTTTTTTTTTAAGAGTCAAACTGTTGCCCTGGGTAGAGTGCTGTGGCATCATCATAACTCACAGCAACCTCAAATTCCTGGGCTCAAGTGATCCTCTTGCCTCAGCCTCCTGAGTAGCTGAGACTATAGGTGCCCACCATAATGCCCAGCTAGTTTTTCTACTTTTAGTATGAACAGGGTCTTGCTCTTGCTCAGACTGGTCTGGAACTCCTGAGCTCAAGCAGTCCACCCACCTCAGCCTCTCACAGTGTTAGGATCACAGATGTGAGACTCTATGACCAGCCATAACATAATTTTAAAGCAAAATAGGCTGGCTTACATACAATTTTAGTGAATATTGTTAAGCAAATGAAAACGTACTAAATTATTTTTAATAATTTTCTCTTTATAACCACTGGTTTACCATAGTTGCTACAACCACCATTTATGTACTTTTAGCATATGATTTTTGTTCCCGTGCTCTTTGTTTCAGGAAACTGACCCAGACTTTGATCATTGTGCAGTCTGCATAGAGAGCTATAAGCAGAATGATGTTGTCCGGATTCTTCCCTGCAAGTATGTCAGTTTTCTTTCTTTGAAAAAGAATACTGTTACTGTGCTATGCCTGTCTCCATGTCAGAGCAGGGGTCTCACTTGCTTTTGAGAGCCACTTACCTCATGGCTTTCTGGCAGGCCAAGGCTGCCCAGTGCCCACTAGAGGATGAGGTTAGCAGAGAGTAGCACTGCCTTCTCGAGAGCCAACTTCACAACCTTGTCTAGAACCACATGTGCCACAGCCTCCAGTCACACCATAAATATGCTAAGAGCCTAAGAATATTAAGGTCAAGAATTTTTATTTTGTGATTCTTTTTTTTCATTCTTTTTAACAGATAGGTATCACTATGTTGCCCAGGTTGGCCTTAAGCACCACACGTAGTTCTGTGATTTATGTGAGTTTCCAACAGCCCCTTGTTCGATCCTTCTTAAATCTGAGTCCATCATTAGGACCTCCAGTGATCCTCCACAGGGCTCAACCTGGCTCTTAGTACTACAGCTATAGGGACTCTGATTAAATCTTTTTCTGAACCTGGATTATACAAAATGAGAGGACTGATATTTGCTTCATCCCTACCCTGGGGTTAAGTACTCTGATCTGCACATATTACGTTTATGGCCTCTTATAATTCTCCCAGTGGTCCTGACAAGCTACTTTTCTCTTCCCTATTCCATGAAGCGTCACACAATCCAGAAAGGTCTCCAGAAGGAGTATTCACCTGTACTTTGGTGTCCTAAAAAAAGCAAATTTTCTTTTTCTTTTCTTTTCTTTTTTTTAAAAGACAGAATCTCATTATGTCACCCTTGGTACAGTATCCTGGCATCACAACTCACAGCAACCTCAAACTCTTGGGCTTCAGCAGTTCTCCTGCCTCAGCCTCCCTAGTAGCTGGGACTATAGGCGCATGCCACAACGCCTAGCTATTTTTTTGGTTGTAGTTGTCAGCGTTGTTTTAGCTAGCCCAGTTTGGGCTCAAATCTGCCAACCTCAGTGTATGTGGCCAGCACCCTAACCACTAAGCTACATGCGCCAAGCCAAGAGCAAATTTTCTTTACAAGCATTTTGATTTCTATCAGGGTTCTTTCCCAACCTAGGGAATGTGAAACATTAAATAACAATTCTGACTGTCGTGCAGAAAAATAGGAAATTACCCACTGAGAAGTCAAAACCAAAGCGTTTTCCTCTTTCTTCCCCTTCTCTTTAAAAGACATCCACAGAAGTAATGACACACAATGTGTGACTGGATACACTAAGCCTGAGTAGGTGTCTCCAGAGGCTACTGATCTTATTTACCTATTCATGAATAATCTACATATTTTGAACTTAGGAAAAACAGTTTTCTTAAGAAAATCATAGACCTTAAGAAGAATTATATATACTGAAAGAGAAAGCCAGGATTCTGGTAGTTAAGTCATTTTAGTTTACATGTAGAGGAAAATCTGTAAAACTAAAGGTGAGCTGTCCTGTAGAAAATTAAACCAGGTCATGACTAGTGTTTCTTCATCTGTAGTCACTTATAGTCAAAAGTGTGAGGCTAACAGGTTGCAGGTGCAGATCAGAAGGGTCGGGACGACATATACAGAGCAGCTCAGCGCTTGCCCGCTCTGACACTGGAATGACAGGGAGAAGCCAAGTCTTTCCAAATTCTGTTTTCCTGTGTCAGCCCAGGATCTCCCGGAACCATCTGGGACCTAAGAACAAAGGCCTCCCAAACTACTTGTGGTTATTACTAAAGTGGGAATGTCTTCCTCAGGGGAGCCTCAGCCTAGAATAGATTATTCTGAGAAGTTTGCTTTTATTCTACACATTGGCTTTTCTAGTTTCATTCTGAGTTCTCTTTCTTCTTAACTCAGTCTAGTGCTTTTCACTTCTAACTATACATCAAAGTCCAGGAGCCTGGACATGTTCATTATAATGAGTTCCTGAGAGATTCTGATGTTATGGGGCCACACCTCCATCGAGGTCCAGCGCCTTGGCTGATCTTAACCTTTTCCATGGCTGTATCTGCCACCAGAGAAATGGCTCACAACCTTTGTGTTTGTGGTCCATTTTTGAATATTAGAGTTTTTTCAAACTTAATGGAATTTCTTTGCACTCCTAGTCAGGGCACGGTTCACCTAGCTCTTTCAGTACTAGGTCATTATTTCACTAGACTGGGGGTTCACGTTCTCCATGTTGCTTTGGAACCAAGGTGATGTTTGTTAGTCTTACGTCTCACATCTCAACAACTTGTGGTTTTCTCTGGTAGTGTACATCCTGCTCAGTGAAGTGTTTTGCCTCACTGAAACAGTAATGGCAGTGTGTTTCTCAGGTGTAGTAAAAATTAACTTTATACCTTGAGCAACATTTTGTTATAACTCTTTGACCAGAACAGAGTGCTTTGCTTGGTACTATTGATATTTCAGACCAGATACCTTTTGTTTGGCACTGGGGCAGTCTTGTGTATTATGGGATATTTAGCAGTGACCTTGGCCTCTACCCACTAGGTATCAATAGCACCCACACACACACTTATGTGACAACCAGGAATACCTCCCAATGAGAACCACTTACCTAAGGGTTGGCTGTGCACAGTTATCTTTTTTTTTTTTTTTTTTTTTTTGAGACAGGAGCCTCAAGCTGTCCCCCTGGGTAGAGTGCC